TGGGAAAAGTTGGCTTTGATGTATTACTTTTTTTTGCGAACATGATAAATATCAACAGGCTGCTACCTGCAACAATACCAAGCAGAATCAGTATATATATCCCATATCTTGGATCATCTACAAATGTATGTACTGAAGCTACTATCCCAGAACGTACTATAAAAGTTCCTGCAATACTTAAAATAAAAGTTACAAGTGCAAGTAAAATGGCAAAATTTCTCAAGGTATTAAAATACCGAACTACAAGTAACAAATGTGTCAGTGCTATTGCGATTAACCAAGGCATCAAAGAAACGTTTTCTACAGGATCCCAAAACCAAAACCCACCCCATCCAAGTTCGCGGTACGCCCACCAACTACCAAGACTGATACCTAAAGTGAGTAATGAACAAGATATAAGCACCCAAGGCCTTACAATTTTAGCCCAAGCGCATCCCTCCATTCCTGTAATTAATCCAGCTATTGAAAGTGAAAAAGCAACACTAAAACCAAGACATCCTAAATATAATATTGGGGGGTGAATGGCAAGGCCTATATCCTGTAATATCGGATTGAAACCTATTCCATCTGTTTCAATGCTTGGCATTTTCGTAAAGGGGTTAGATTCAAATAAAGTAAATAGTAAAAAACAGAAACAAATTAATGACTGAGTAATCATGGATATTCTCTTCAGCTTATTATCGTTATCAATAAAAACACTCATTAATAACAGATATAAAGTAAGCACAAAAACCCAAAGTAACATGGAGCCTTCTTTGTTACCCCAAGCGCCGCAAATTTTATAGAGCAAAGGCTTTGTTGTATGTGAGTGATAGTAAACATTTTCAAGTGCAAAGTCGTTTGTAATATGGCAGTAAATTAAAATAGCCAATGGTATTGATGTACACAGGAATATAAAAAAAGTAGTTGGACTATATAAGCGTAGTGGAAGAAATAGATACGTTATAGATAATAGACAAGCTATTAATAATAATATGTTTCCTAGATTAGACATAAGGTAACTTATTTATATGGATATTACTAGTAACAAATTAAAAACTAAAGTTTTATTGTTCAATTCTTGTTATTCAAAAGGGGAAAAGCAAAGGGTTCAAGCGTGTATAATTTTAAATTATATAACTTTTAGCCAAGCAACAAAAATATTTGAAATAAATACATTTTATGTTAAAGTAGCCAAAGTTTGTTTAACTTTTAATAGTGATTTACAATAGGAGAATAATATGATGCACTCACATGATACCTATGATTTGAGAAGATATGCATTAGCCTTCATAAAGAAATCAGGTAGTGCTAATAAAATTCAGGATTTTTTACCGCTTGTATTCAATTCAATACAAGCGATGCAAAAAGGTTGGGGTGAAAAACATTTTGATGAATTATATAAACAGTTTATTCATCAACAAGCTAGACAGTCTAGACAAAACAATACTCAAAATTTTCAGACTAACGCGGGTTTCCGAGCAAATATAGGACAATCACAAAACAATACATGTCATTTTCAATCAGATGCCGCTCCCCAAGCAAATACAGGACGGCCACAAACCATTCGCATAGAACATGCACAAGTCAATACACATTCCTATTTTTGGGATTGTTTGCTACTGCAATGTTGGTTTAACTCTTTATTTGGTGGACGCAGTCATGCCGCCAGTAACATTACTAACTTCAACTATAGTAACGGTGGTAACAATAGTGCTAGTTATGTACATAAGAAAAAAGAATCGTATGATGGTAGAAAGCTATTAGCCGCAGGTATAGCACTTATAGTTGTGGTTGCTATCTTTCATATCTCAATGTGTTATTGGTATGGTCGCAGCAGAGAAATGGCAAGAAAGTCAGGGAAAATAGATTATTTAGATAACACGCTGAAGACGCTTAGAAATGTAGAATTTCTAGGCTCTGCTGCTTCTTTGGCCGGTTTAGTAGCTTGTGTTGTCTATCCAGTCTTACCAACTTGGGGTTTAGTTACTCTCGGCGTTCACTCTTTGGTATGTTTTGTGGGTGGTTTAGCTTTTCACATGAGCCATGAAAGAGAATCCGAATATATTGAGTTAGCTAAAAATGCAGTAGAAAGTTATCTTAACCCAGCACCTAGCACTGAGTTTAATCCAAATGCTTTTAGTGATAATAATTCAAGACCAGTACCTTCAGCTCCAGGAGCAGAATTTCCACAAGCACCACCACCTTACTCTACGCATGGTCAGACTGCCTTTTATTTTGGCCCTTTCAGTAATGTTGATGTTCAAGGTAGACCACAAATAGTGAAAAGTTAGTAAATATCAAATGCACCTAAATACTGGTAATTTATACAGTTGCCAGTATTTATTCATTAATAAAAATTCCTTTTCTTTGATTAAGATTTTTGCTACACTTAACTTAGATTTTTAATGTGTAC